TATTACTTACTATAAAATATATAAGAGGGAAACTATAATAAGACAAAAACCCATATAAAGTATACTAGAGTACAAAATATAACTTAATAGTAAAATAATAAATTAAAAGCATAAATAGTAAAGTATAAATAGTATATAGTATATAAAAGCTTAATTAATTAAATACTTATAAAGGATTATTCTTTAAGTCTATAGAAAAACCAGCTTTCTTATATGATTTCTGCAAGTTATATATAAAAGGCTATAGCCTTTACTATATAACCTAAATTTTAAAACCGCCAAAATAATACGATTTTCGACAAGTATAGCCTGTTGTACTATAGTATTCCGGTTATTTATAAGGAAGTTTATAAGCTTAGCTTTCCCTAGCCTAAACCTCTCTATAAGACCCGTAATATACTTGCTCTAATTAAGGTATAGGATGTATTTCATATAATCTCTATATATTTAAATACCCAAAATTAGGGCTATATTCCCTAAATCCTTGATTTCCTATAGGGAGGCTATTCTATTAATAATCTTCTAAATAGCCTATAGATCTCGGCCCAGAACTAGTATATTATTTATATAGAGCCCTATAATTATACTATAATCTATAGTAGTAAAAATATTCGGCTTACTAAAACAGGGGCTAAAACCAAAGGTTTTGAGCCCTATATAGGCTTTAATATATTACTTCTTCCCTAATTACTTAAGCCTATATAGGGAATTAAGCAAGAGAAGTATTAAGCCTTTAGTATACTTTAGTACTTGAGGGACCCGTATATATATCTTAGTATAGAGCTTAGAGTATAGATAGGTACTAATAACGTTAATTTAATACATTTCCAGGTCCTTATAAGCCCCTAAAGCTAGTAAAATCCTTAGGCTTTTAGCCCTAATAGTAGGGCTAAAAGTTTCTAGGAAATCGTTCCCTAGAACCTGGCTAAAGCCTTGGCCTACTAGCCGAGCTTTATACTAATTAATTAAGCCTATAGGAATATATTTAATAGTAAATACCCACTTATAGCCTATGGCTTTCTTTCCAGGGAATAATAGTACCGGTTTCCAGGTATTAAGGGCTTATAATTTAGTGAGTTCTTTACTAATCGCTTGCTTTTAATAGGCTTTATAAATAGGGTTATTTATAGCCTTAGTATAGGTTTTTGAAATTAAACGCCCTGTAATTACCGTATTTATATACGGCCCTAAAGGCCCCGTAATTAGTAGTTCTCCCTAATTATGGGAATTAGGGTTCCCTGAATTAGTATTCCCTAAATCGGAATCCAAAGCCCTTATATCTATTACTATAGTATCCCTATAGTTCCCTGGAATGCTCTACCGGAGGTCAGGTAACAGGGCAGGAGAGTTATATATACTCCCTAAATACTCTGTAATTATAGGAGCTTTAGGTACTATAGGCTATTCTATTATAGCTTCTATTAGGTTAAACGGGACTATTTCCTTCCTAATAAGCTCCTCGTTCTAGTTCCACTCTAATTACTCGTTTTTATAGAAAACAGGTACTATAAATACTATAATTTTCCCCTATTCAGGCTTATATAGCTTATATTGCCTTAATATAAGTATATAGCCTATAAGATAGGCCTTAATAACTATATTATTTATTTTCAAGCAAGTTTCTTTAGGTATATATATATATACTATATATCTATATATCCTAAGATACCTAATATTAGGGTGTTTCCTACTATAGGCCTCCTTAGGGATATTACTATTAGGGCTTATTAGTATTTAATTTCGTAAATAATAGGCTATAATTACGGCTTCTTTCTAGAACCATATAGGGAGCTTAGTATCTAATAATATAGCCCTAGTTACTAATATTAAGCTCCGGTTCAGGTATTTAGAAATCCTATTCTATTTAGGGATATAGATAGTAATATACTCAAATTATATACTATAGTCGTCTAGTAATAAAGCCCCTAAGAACTTATATTCTAAGGTATTATTATAGTATATAGCCTTGATTTTATGCCCTAATTCTAGCTCTACTAGGGCCTTAAACTATAAAAACATAGTTCTTAGCTACTTCCTAGTTTTGGTAAGATATATCCACGATTTACGAGTATAGTTATCTGTAAATATAAGTATATAGGTATTTCCTTCTAGTATAAGTATACTATAAGGGCCCCAAAAATCGCTGTAGATCCGTTCTAATAGAGCTATAGCCCTCTTAGGGGCCTTCCGGTTTACTACTCTTACTATTTTAGCCTTAATATAGGGCTTACAGGGCTTCTAAAAAGCCCTAATTAGCTCTTTAAGCCCTATAGAAATAATATATTCTAGCTTTAGGCTTATAGAGCTCAAATAGCCAAAGCGGTAATACTAGAGGCTAGCTTGGTTTTCCGGTATAGTGGTTGCTTTTAGCCTAATATTAGTGCCTTATAGGATACTATCCAGGGCATATACTCTTCCTAAGCGGCTAGTAACCCCTATTACTGCTCCCTGAAACTTAATTAAGAGCTTCTTTCTAGTAAAACTAGTAGTAGTACGTATAGTAATACCCTTATCCTAGAGCTATAGTACCGAAATTAAGCTCCTAGTAAGCTTAGGTATATAAAGCACTCTAGTAAGCTTTATAGTTCGCATAGAGGCCCCCAGGGCCACCTGTAAAAGCATAGTACCCTCTGTAATAGCCGGAATCCGGGCCCTATTTGCTATAGTTACTAGTATAGGAGTATCTAATACCCTATATTTAGTAAAAGCCTCCCGCAAATAAGTTATATAACGGGAGCTTCCAGAATCAATAACCTATAGTAAATCCTTACTATAGGTGAGCTCTGCTAGAGCTATCTAACTGGTTTTAGTACTACTAGCGTTTGCTATAGGCTTCTCAGGCCCTGGAGAGAGTCCTCTGCCTTTTCTAGGGATTACTAAGGGCCCTGTACTAGGGCTCTTTTCCTGATTTTCTTGCTTCTCTCCCTTTTTGCTCCTGTAATTAGATATTCTATGGCCTTGTTTACTATATTTGAAGCATTTTCCCTGAAATTTAGGGCTCTTTTCCCCTGTTTTAGCTAGTAAAACAGATTCCTTTAGGGCTTCTTTTGGTCCTATTCTCCGTTCGTACTTACTAAAGCGAGCTATTATTATACTATAATTAGTAGTACTCCCACTAATCTCAAGCTATAATATTAGGGGAGCAAAGCGCTTATCTAGTGCCCTAATAGCCCCAAAAAGGATCGATATTTTGAGGGCTTTAGAGGGCTTTTCCGTAGGATTAATGGTTCCGATTTCGTACTATAAAGTACTCAATTCCGTGGCTATTATAGTAATAGTGGCACCCCGTTCCGGTGGCTTATAGCTAGTAAAAGCCTGAATTTTAGTACTAAGCTACTATATGCCCAGGGGGGCATATAATGCTTTTAGTGCCTCCTATTGCTCCTTGGCCATTCCAAGGAGTAATATATGCTATAAGGCTCCCTGAGTATATAAGCTCATAATTATAGTGCTTGCCTTAGTGTCCTTTACCTCCGTATGATTACTGGAAGGCCCTGAGGCCTTAGGATCGCTCCTATCTCCAGAACCAGAACCCCCTATAGAACCCGGTTCTATAGTAGTTTCTACCCCTAGGCTAACCACGTTCCATAGGCTTTGACCAATTAAAAGCCTACGTACCTGAATGCTCCAGGGCCTATAATTAGGCCCTGTAAGCCTGGCGATCCGGGGCTTTTCCACACTAAAGTCGTCTTCCATAGTATTCTCTGAAGGATATTTCCGGTAGGTATAAGTGAGCCGATTCAGTAATTTATAGTGTGTAGAGGTAGCTTCCGGTGCTCATAACCTATTGAACTAGCTAAAGCTAGGGTTACGTGCTTGTAATGTAAACCAAGTAAAACGTACTGAATTGACTACTGTTCTATAGTAGTAAGTAGCCCGTATATATAGCCCTGAACCCCCTAAGTCACATGTACTAAATCCCTATGCTAGCTGAACCGATTACAGCTATACAGGGTATTCCAGCTATACAGGGTATTCCAGCCGTATAGGGTATTCCAGCTATATAGGGTATTCTAGCTAGACAGGGTATTAAGCTAGTGCACAGCCCCATGGCGTTCGGTTCCAGGGCTTACTAAGCCTATTAGGGGCCTCAGGCCCCTAATTTCAACATCTCCACTCCACCCCTGAACCCCTGAAAAACACTATCAAAACAACAAAGCAAATTTTCGGAAACCCCCTATTTACCTCACTCCATCTCACGTTATAGAGATTCTGGCTAACCTTACAAGGCTATAATAGAGAATTCACATCACACCATGAGTTTACGCAATCGTCAAAAGATACAAAATTCAGAGACACACACAGCGAGACGCGATTCGACCCCTTATACGAAGTCCTTGGACAAGCCTATAGCCTACCTCTTCTAAGCAAGTAAAATAGCTCGAAGAATAGTCCTAAAGAAACACCTTTATAAGTATCTTTATGAGTATCTCTATAAGCATTTGATACGTTAAGTTAACCTATAGAACCTCAGAGCGTTTATATATATATCCGGCGTATCTATGGTATCTCGAGGCAGAAGACTACGAGTAAGCCAACTATTTGCCCTTGTTGGGAGATACCATACCCCATATATATCGTTACCTAGCTATTTGTTCTTTTACGCGTTACAGGGAGGTACCAGGACGGCGAGGGATAAGGGGAGGAGAGGAAGGGAAAGAGGGAGTGAGGTGTTACGTTAGGATAGGAGAGGGCATTCTTTAGCTCGTTTTTCCCACAGGGTTTTGGAGCTGTTTACTGAAGCCCAGGGCCTCTTTTGCACGCGTCTTCTTGCTGACAAGAAGTGGATTAGTCAGCGAAAACATTACCTGAGGTTAGAATTCATGTAGTTAGTCCCTGCATAGGCCTTTTTAGGCCTAGAACGGAGTATGAATAAAACAAATAAACAAACAAACAAACCCCTCAACCCCTTTCCTCGCCAAAACTCTTGAAGTCCCCCACAAGAATACTTCACAGACTTTCGGTCTTTGTTCTATTGCACATAAATTAATTGAGATCTTCGAGGTTGTTTTCTTGTTTTTATTCTGCATCAATGTTTGATTTCACGCATCCCCTGTGTTTTTTTGTTCTAGCAGTTTCACAGCCTCGTTCAAATGACGAGGTCGAAATTTACGGATGTTTCTCAGCCCAGCCTTCATCTCCCACATGACACATCACAGTCTTTCAACAACGCGGATCAAGCATTGCGCACGCCATGTTCATCTTAGTTGTCAGCTGTTGAGCCTATTGGGCTTCGTTATTTTCCCTTGGGACTCGGAAGAGGATTCAAGAGGTAAGGTGTGGCAGCATACCTTTTCTTGTGCGAAAACACTGTAATGGTTGCCTTTGATGTCAAGAGCCACTCGAATGAAGTTGTGCTCATAGTTTTCCCATCCTAGACGTTTTTCTTTGCGGTAAACATCAATGCCATTCGTCGTCCCATCCTGATTTGGTACATATTCGGCTGCCTTGAGCAAAATTGCTGGGGGCGGGGAAGGTGGGACAGAGAGCGGCATGGCTACAAGTGAAGCATTTAGAGGGGAGATATTTTCGGACGCCTCTTTCGACTCTTGAAAGATACTGCTGCCAACATGCCAACTTGGTGGATCCCAGTCACGGATCATTTGACGCGCGGTTTGGATGCACTGCTGCAGCTTGAGCTGAAGGGCGGGGTTGCTGCCTTCAGGTGCAAAAAACTCGTCGGAGAAGTTTTCGAATTCGCTGATGCTTGATCTTGGATAAGGAGAGTCTATCATAATCAACCCGATGACAGAGACGTTCGAGTCCTCAAGCAGACAACGTGCAATCTCCAGTGATAACAGGCCCCCAAAAGACCAGCCTAGGCTCATGTCAGTTGATTTGCTCTTCAACAAGGCACGATATTACCTCCGAGTAGTATTCTTCCTTTAGGAATTACTGATTTGATCATGAGTGCGTACTCTCGCGCTATTTCGGGAACACCGTCATCCCACTTTCCGCCTCCTTCGAAACGTGGGTTAAAAATTCCAAAAACTTTCCGGCTAAGTGAGCCGAGCCAAAAGTAGCTTGATATGAGCCCACTACCATCATGAATGAGAACCAATGGGGCTCGAGATGTGGGTCCTGGTGGGCCAGGCTGAATCAATGTAGGGTTCGCCTCTAGCATAATGACTCGAAGGGAAGATAACCTCAGTTGCTGGATTGGGAACGTCTCAAGACGCACGCAGTCCTACTAAATTGTTTTCAAAAGCACTCGAATGATAGTTTCTCTAAGCGATCTCACTGCAGAACTGCCTGCCAAGGGTTTGCGCGTTTAGTAAGATTGATTCCTTACGAGCCGCGAGTGCGCATGCACTATGCAGTAAGCCGCATCCTTCGCGTTTACTAGCTGTATCTCCGAGACCCTGGGCTGAATAATAGTGAATGTAGTATTGCTGCCAAGCGCTGTATTGCTAACGTCAGCCCTGTAGCTACAAGTATTATCCCCGAATTCAAGCTTGAAGCCCAAGCATTCAAACCCAAAATCCTCTCGTATTGCGGGGGCCCTTTCTTCTGCAATTGATCTAACAATACCTGCTGAACTAAGGCATACCTTCTAAAGTCAAATTATTATTTCGTCGAGCGTTGCTAGCAAAGTCATGAATCTGCTTAGCCAGTAAAGTACAGCAGTTGACCGATACCGCTCTGCCTGCCTCCAGAAATATTAAGATAATTATCAAGAGATCTTAGAAACTCTGATTTGCTACCAAACCTTCACCAAAATCTCTCCCACTGCTTGCCACCTTCGTCTATTCCTCAACCCTAGAAGTCACAGGGTCAGCACCTTTCGATCAAACTATCTCACACTCAAAATGGGTTCTGTCAGCGCCCCACTGTCTGGTCTCGATGCTTCCTTGTTGGAAATTCTCCTTAGCCCATCACCCAAATCGCCCCAAGAAAGCGCTGCTTTCGGGAGTACTTTCACAAGTACGTCATTCAATTTATCCGTTATTCACAGAACTAACTCTCCTCAGATCACATGCTCCTTGTTGAATGGGACAGCACTGTCGGCTGGAAAGCCCCAAGAATCGTCCCTTACGGAAGTCTCGCACTCAGCCCTGCCGTAAATGTTCTTCACTATTCCAGTACATGTTTCGAAGGCATGAAAGCGTTTCGTGGTAATGACGGAAAACTTCGGCTCTTTCGACCTAGCATGAATCTAGCCCGTTTCAATCGCTCTGCTGCAAGAATCGGGTTACCTACAGTGGACGAAGATGAGTTGTTGAAGCTGATTTGGAAGTTTCTTGAGGTGGACCAGAGCTTCATTCCCAAGTGAGTTTTGATAACATATCCATCAGGCTATCCACTGACATGGTAAATAAAGTAAGCAAGGACACTCATTGTATCTTCGTCCAACGATGATCGCCACCAATCCTGATCTCGCTCTTGTTATGCCTACATCAGCTCTTTTATTCCTTATTGCCTCCCCCGTGGGTTCCTACTACAAATCTGGTTTCAAAGCCATTACCATGGAAACTGTACCCTCAGTTCGAGCATGGCCAGGAGGGGTGGGTGATTTTAAGGTTGGGCCTAATTATGGACCCAGTGTGGTACCACATCATCAAGCTCATTTGAATGGATCGAATCAAACTCTGTGGCTGATTGATGGGGATCGAATTACAGAAGCCAATGGTATGAACATCTTTGCTGTGATCAGAAGTAAAGACAGTGAGAAGCTGGAATTGGCCACGCCGCCATTGGATGGTTTAATCTTGTCAGGGGTGACGCGAGATTCAGTTCTGAAATTGGCACGAGAGAAGCTTGCTAGCTCCTCCTTCCACGTGTCGGAAAGAAAACTCACGATGATGGAGCTCCAAGAGGCGTCAAGTGAAGGGCGTCTCAGAGAACTATTTGGCACAGGTACGGCTGTTGTGATATTGCCGGTCCGTTTACTTAAGTGGAAGGAGAAGGGTGTGGCGATTTCTTGTGGGTTGAATAATGACCAAGAAGCTGGAGATGTTGCGACCGAGATGAAGAGGTGGATTGAAGACGTACAATTTGGTCAAGAGAAACATGAATGGGGGGTTTCAATGCCGCTTTCAAAATAATCATGATCCTGAGAAAGCTCAAGAGACATGGTGAAATGCAAGAGGGCCTTCGGTGATTCGTGTAAATTAACAAAGTCTTCATGACAACACTGAAAGCACTTTAGATTGTCTATGACTCTGCAAAGTCATCATATTTCAACAAAGAAAGTTCCGCGTACCCCACGTCTGTCTAACTTGAATTCTATAGCTTTGACCGCCAAGAACACCTTTTCCATTATTTTGTCCGGTGTCTATTATTCAAATAGTCACTAACCCAGGAACCGAGCTCGGACATGGATGTATGACCAGAACAGCACATTACAAGTAGCGTTGTGAACACGATATCCGCGCGATCTTTCTGGCGAACTCCGCTGTTCTCTGTAGTAAGCGCCATTACAACAGTCCAAAGATTCGGAAGCTTAGAGGAAGGAGGAAAGTGTTAGCGCCACCGGACGTTGAAATTTGGATGAATTAAGAGTGAGACTCCGACTCACCTCATTTTGCAAGATCTTTCTGATGGCTGAGTCGAGAATCGGCGTAGGACGATCAGAGTCGTGGCTTTTTTGACCAAGGAAGAGCATTTCTTTTTTCAACATGTCATTTTGGGTGAATTTAATGCATTCCTCGACAAGAATACTTTCTGCCAACTGCAAGTCTCATTCTGATAGCCTTGTCTCTCCCATTGTGGCCACCGCATAGAGTGCTCCCGAAGAGACGCAAGGACTTCTGGCAGTCGGCGCATTCGACTTACTCGCTGCTCACCAAACAGACCTGAGTCTTCAAACTGGGAAGTATAGTATGCCGAAGCAAGATCATCAAAGCTATCAAAGCCTAGATCTTTGGAACACCCCAGGATGTATCCGAAACGTTCGTCTAACGAAGAACTTTTCTTGGGTCTACTTGGGAAATCGTCAAAGCCTGAGCCCCTAACCATGTCGGCCTTGCCCGGGAGCATTTTACCATACGATGCTCTTGATCTTGTTGTATATTTGTGAGAGGTGGTCGACAGGGACTCGCAAGACGATGGCTCAACTGGCCCTGTGTGCAGCGAAAGTGGGGTGGGAGGGAAGGGAGGTTCTCTCCTCGGTACTCCCTCGTTGTCAGCGCTTCCATCGCCATACACTGTGTTTGCCGAGAAAACTTCCATGTCAGCAAAATTACTTTATTCAAAGAACAAGATACTTGCAGTATTGTACTTTCTTTGGGAAATAGCTTTGATTGGGAAACGAGGCGGGCAAGGGAAATGTTCCGACTGCGGCGCCTTGTGATTGAGAGTGTCTCCCCTCCGATATTGCTGGGGATAACATTGCGTTATAATAAGACGAGGAGTTGATTTCCTGTGGAAATTGAGAGGTACTGGGAAGCAGTGGGTTTGGTTGCCCCTGCGGCGACCACGCATGACGTGGGAGGATCGGCATTGACCAGTCCATCGACGACTGCTGATGAATAGAAGTCTCTTCTTGGTTTTGCTGTTGTTGTTGCTGATGGCCATTGAAACTTTCTGTTGCCATCTGTTGTGGAAGAGATATATCGTTGATTGCTGTAGAGGAAATTGGAATATTCAAACCTCTTGCTGATGGGGCCCGTCCACTATAATAGCCTGGATTGTGACCATCATATGTTTCCCGATATGTTTGCCGTCGAGGAACTTGGGATCGTTGTGGGTGGATAGAAGGTGACGAGTGATAACTCTTAGATAGGTTTGCAGGTGAAGGTTGACGTTCGTGGGGCGAATTGTGCGAGCCCTCTACGGATACGGCAGAAGTTGAATCCTCACTGCTACTGCAGTGGTTTTGGCTATCCAGGAGAAGTGTTTCCGTTTGGAGGCTTTCCACCTGCTTCTGCAGGGACTCAAGGCGCTGCTTCACTCTGCTACCTTCATATCATTAAAATGAGTTGAACAGCTCCCCACCCCAACGATACCGAGTAAGTGAATATCAGACTTACGGTAAGTGCGCTGTGCAACACGGTTCTGTATCTTCTTCTTCGCTCGACGATCTGTGACAGTCGTCCAGTCATCAGCATCTGGCTGAGCACGACCGGAAGCACGCTGGGACGGTCCTGCACTGGGGAAAAAATAGCATGGCTCGTTTGCAGCCCCGTGAACACTGAGTGGTGAGAAATTATGATCCATTCTCCATTCTAGGTTCAAAGAGTTCGAAAAGGCTGTTGAGACGCTGCCCAGCCGTGAAAATGAGACAGTAAGAATACTTATACATGTTGCTCTCTCCGAGAGAGTCTACAGCGCGGCTGGTTAACCCGTGTGCTCCACCAGGTGAGATGACAGGGGTTCAAAGTAACCATTTTCAAAGTAACCAGATGAGATTTTCGTCAGGCATCAACTTCCTGTCTATATAGTACAGCGAACAGGACACAGCTTTGCTGTATCCTATTCGCTATAAATTAACTATATCTTTATAGTAATTAACCCAAATACTGTTTTCTAACTGTATTAAAATCATTTCTAAAGTGTTCCCAAGCGGGGGGCTCCCACCGCCCCCCGAACCCCCGGCGAACCCTAACTAACCCGCACCCTAACCCCCTAAGTAAAGCGTTTCTAAACTGTATATAAACTATTATAAAAGCGTTATAGAACTGGTTCTATCTTAAGGTTGAAAAGTCGATTTTCTTTAAGTCAAAATTCAAGCAGAAATAACCTGGTGGGTCCTCAATAATCCTCGTCCGCACCCCTGTAACTCACCCGGTGGAGCACACAGGTTAACCCAGTGCGCTGCTTACCGGCTCTCCTTTCAATGATCGTATTAGGGAAGTTTTGCAACTCTAAATCCAACTTTTGGATAACTCCGGTATTCCTAATCAAGTAAAGCTTTGACGATTACTCAGCTAATTTGGATCCACAGTTCGGAATTTCTCGTGTCCAAAAGTTATCCCAAAAAATTCTCAGCTAGCGTTTGGCTAAAACCACCAGCGCTGACTGCACTTACTGTACTGCAATGCTAGCCGAATGTGCTCGAAGTACTGTTCTTGCGAGGACAGCTGTTTACGATGGCAGTATGGTCCCATGCTACTGGGCCATAGGGCTGCATTAGGTTCTTCGTACAAGCTCACGAATCAATCCTTTGTGAATCAAGGCGGGTATTTCACGGAAGCCTTCTCTCACAGTAGTAGGGCTTGCACCGGAGCTTCCTGCGCAGGGAAATCCCAGTGACTTCGCCACCGACCTAGTTACTTTCCCGATGCGACCATAAGACACCTTTCTCTCGAGACGTTGCTGTCCCTACTACACCGTGAAACCATGAACGAGACGACGTCAAACGAAGACAGTTCCGCCCATTTTGACCATCCCACAGGTCTTCGACTATATGTTGTGTTCCTGGCCTTGGCACTCTCCGTCCTCATTGTCGGTTTGGTAAGCGCAAAATACATCCTTTCTTTGTTCACTTGCACCACTATCATACTCATCAGCGCTATCAAAGGATGCAAGCATTATCGCAACTGCAACCCCACGTATTACAGATACTTTCAGCTCTCTCTCCGACGTGGGATGGTATGGATCTTCATAGTCAGCATGCCCTGTCTCCTTACACCAGCAATAATATTAACATGTTGTAGTCTGCTCACCGCTTGCACTTGTCAACTGGCATACGGTCGGGTCTACCAGCTATGCTCCATCAAATGGGTATTCATGAGCGCCGTCTTGATTTTTGAGGTCGGGAGTCTGATTACAGCTCTGGCGCCAACATCGAGTGCCGTAATCGTTGGTCGGGCAATATCTGGGCTTGGGTTTGCGGGAATTGGGACTGGTTCCTTGATGTTTGTTCCAACTACGTCTACTTTTCTTGAATGATTATACATACTGACTGTTCATAGTATTATTGCATATGCAGTACCCTTGCAACGACGAGCATTTTTCACCGGGATCATTGGAGCTATGGAAGGAATAGGCTTCATCGTTGGCCCTTTACTTGGTGGTGTTCTTACGACCCGCCTTTCATGGCGATGGTGTTTCTGGATAAACCTTCCTGTCGGGGCAATCACTGCGATAGTAATTGGGTTCTTCTTTCGGCCTCCTCGACAGCAGCCCACTCCGTTCAGTGTGAGCAAAAAATACTCAAGCTACTCAAGCTACTCTAGAGTAGTCTTGAGCAGAGTAGAGTAGAGTTTGAGTAGCGTAATATGGTACTTGAGTAGAGTAGAGTAGAGTACTACTCAAGAGTAACTCAAGAGTAGTCACGTGCAAGTCACGTGAATGTAGAAAATCAATGTTTATTTAATTATTAATAAATAAATAAGGTACCTATTAAGCAGTACTATATAATTTAAGCTTGAGCTTATATAAGGCTACTTAAATACTACCTTTCTTCTATAAAAAACAGATTTTCCTTCTTTTTTCCTTCTCTTTTTACTTCTTCTAATTTGTCTTTAAATAACCCCTAGCTTTTTAAGTAAGATATTATCTCAAAAGTACTTTTATTAAGTTTATTACGTAATTTAGATATAATAAGAGCACCTTGAGAAAAGAATCTCTTACTAGTAGTCGAAGAAGCGGGAATTCCTAGATATTTCCTAGTTATTAAAGCTAAAACAGGAAATCTAGTAGTATTAGACTTCTAATAATCTAAGGGCTTAGTCTATATATATATTAGTACTAATTGATAAAAAAATATTAAGAGAATATCGGATAATTATTATAATAAAATTTAAGTGAAATTTATTTACTTTCCTATTTTCTTTCTTTTCTTCTAAATAAGTTACTAATTCGTCTTTGTCTTCGTCGGAATCGGCCATATTAATATCCGAGAAATCGGATCTAGCTTGAGATAAATTATAATTATATTTATATCTAAATAAAATTAGTTATTAATTAATTTATTAAAAAGTAATTAAAGGAATTACTTATATATTATAATTAGTCTTTAATCTATTATATATATCCGAAGATATACCGCTAGATAAGCCAATACTAGTTAATTTTTCTTATTTAATTCGAGGATCAAGAATAAGGGCTAAATATAAAGCTTTATTTTTATTATCTAAAATGCCTGTTTTAGAATAATATTTTCGAAGCTTAGTTATTCCCTTATTAATTATATCTGTAAATGATTTATCCTATTAAATATTAGTATAATATTATTAATAATATAAAAAGAGTTTAAGAAAAGACTTATTTTAAATTCCTTTTTGAAATTTTCTAGTTTATTATATATTTTATATACCTCAGGTATAATATAATATATAATAGGGTAGTTTTCGGCTTGTAACTTAGTAATAGCTTTAATAAATATTGAAATTATATTTAAAATATTATTTAAATAAGTAATTTCAATATTAGTTAAAACTAGACTTTTATTTTTAAAAGCCTTTAAATTAGAGCTATTAATAACTACTTTAATAGCTTTATATATATATATAAAGTTCTTTAATATATAATAAGTCGAAAACCACTGTGTTTTTAATTTATAAATAATTAGTATTAATTAATAATTAAAAAATTAATTACTTATTAAGTTAAAGAAATCGAGTATTTTCTATATTAAAAGCTTTAATTTGAGCTTCTAATAATCGTCGGTTTTCTTGGTTATATTTAAGACCTATAATAGTCTTTTTAATCTTTCTTTAAATTAATAAATCTAAAATTTATTAATAAATCCCTTATAAATTAAATAGGAAACTTACTTATTACTTGCTCTCTTTCTTCTTCTTCTCTATCCTCAAGTTCTTCTATTTCTTACTCGTATAAATTAGTAAAATAAGAAGTATTATAATTATTCTTAATAAGAGCTTTTAAAATATTTTAAACTACTAAATTTAATATATAAGCTATATAAGAAATATCTTCTTGAAATTTAATGCCTTACTTTTTATAATACTTTATAAAAGCCTTTAATAAGGTATTATTTAAGTTAGTATTATCTCGAGTAATACTAAATAAAATATATTAGTAATTATATTATAAAAATATAATTATATTACTTATCTAGTAATATTATATTTAATATTATATTATTTTAAAGCCTCTAATAAAACAGAAAGCATATAAATACTAGAATATATATTATTTAAATCTTTTATTACTAATAAATAAGATTTTAATATAAAATTCTTATTTATAAAGTATCTAAAATAAAATTAGTATATATTTTATAAAAATTTAATAATTAATAATTAATTAACTTATATAGCAATTCCAAGAAAAGCCTTTTAATTTATACTTATTTAAGTATCTAAAGTAATAGAAAAGATTTCTTAAGAATTAATATTTTCTTGTAATTCTTTTTTAATATTTAAACTCTTTTCTATATAGCTTAAATTAAGCTCGTTCTTAAGTGTTTTCATATATAAAGGCAGTACTTGACTATAAAATATTAGCTTATATAATAATAGTAATAATAATAATAATATAAGTACTTACTAATTTAAATATTTTAAAAGTACTTTAAAGCTCGGAATAGTAACTACTCGAAAAGAGATATTATTACTAATAATAAAGCTTAATAATAATCTCTTAAAGTAATTAATAGTAAAGCTATCTTCTCTTTAGCCCGATTATCTATTAAAAAGACTATTTATAGTTAGTTAAAATATTTAAGAAAAAGAAGTTTCGCTTTTACCTAATAAATAATTAGTAAATAATTCTTTAAATAATATTAATTAACTTACTATTATTTCTACTATCGGAAAGAGTATTAAGATTAATAAATTTATATAAGTTCCGAAAGTGAGCTAAATAATTACTTGTTTAATTATGTATTTATTAATTTAGTTTTATTTTTCTAAAAAGTTAATTAATATTAAAATTATTAAAATTAAGATTATTAACTTACAAATAGCCTTATACTAAGCACCTAATAGTAAATAGGCCAGCGTCTTCCGGGTTCTCTTGAATTAGATTTAAAGTCTTTTTTAAATATCCTTTTTTAAAGAGAAGAGGTTTTTTATTAAGGGATTTTAATATAAAATCAGGGTGATTTTGGCTTATATTAAGCTTAATCGAGGATTATTGAGACATTTTCGAGTATATAAAGTATATATAAAGGTATTTGTAATATAAAGTATTATTATAAGAGTAATAGTTAAAGATATATAAGTAATTATAAAAATAAAAGAAGCGAGAACTCGAGGAAAATAACTTATTCTTATAGAAAATTCTAATATTCTAAAGGCTTCTTAATTATTCTTCTAATTAGAAAGAATTACTATATTTCGAAGGTTCCAGTTCTTTAATTTCTAATATATAGCTCTTATATTAGTAATATAATATAATATATAAGCCATAGTAGTTCTGGAGGTATTATAAAGGTTTTACCTCGCTTACCAAGCCTCGCTACTACTTGATTGGGCAGTGCAGTGGCGCTAGGCTCGGGCCACCCCGGAGCCTTATCTGTTGAAATTAGGGGCCTGAGGCCCCTAATAGGCTTAGTAAGCCCTGGAACCGAACGCCATGGGGCTGTGCACTAGCTTAATACCCTGTCCAGCTGGAATACCCTGTATAGCTGGAATACCCTGTACGGCTGGAATACCCTGTATAGCTGGAATACCATGTACGGCTGGAATACCCTGTATAGCTGTAATCGGTTCAGCTAGCATAGGGATTTAGTACATGTGACTTAGGGGGTTCAGGGCTATATATACGGGCTACTTACCACTGTAGAACAGCAGTCAATTCAGTACGTTTTACTTGGTTTACATTACAAGCACGTGACCCTAGCTATATTGCTTTAGCTAGTTCAACATTATCCAATTAGGTTAGCATGTCACGTGTAACGTCACGCACAGCATTACGTACATACTACTCAACTACTTAAGAATATTCTAGAGTAGTTGAGTAGAGTATTCAGTAGAGTATGAGTAGTGAGAAAAAAACTTGAGTAGAATATGAGTAGGGCCCACTACTCTACTCTACTCTACTCATTTCTCACACTGACTCCGTTGGCTCCCAAAAGGACATTTACGCAGGATCTTAAAGAGTTTGATTGGCTTGGAACGTTCACATGTGTTCCTTCCATTCTTTGCCTGCTCCTCGCCCTTCAGTGGGGAGGGTCGAAGTACCAGTGGCACGACTTCCGCATCATACTTCTTTTCGTTCTTTTTGGACTTCTTCTCATTGCCTTTACTGCAGTTCAGAGATTCTCGAAAGCCACAGCAACCATATCTTCCAGAATCGCCAGATCACGGAGCATTCTCTTTGGTGCATCGTTCGCCTTTTCCCTCTCTGCGGCGTTAGCAATCTTCAGTTACTATCTGCCACTGTGGTTTCAGGGCATTAAGAACGCTTCTGCTGAAGCTTCTGGTGTTATGCTCTTGCCAGTAATACTTGGTATGATTGTCGGATCCATCGTTGCCGGTAGCATCGTCACCTATATTGGGTATTATTTACCTTTCATGGTTCTCAGTGGTATTTTGACACCAATTGCGGCGGGGTTGTTCACAAGCCTGTCCGTCAACTCGCCAAAATCCGTTTGGATCGGATACTCAGCCCTTGCTGGATTCGGGGCTGGGTTGGGCTTCCAACAGCCAATCTTGGCAGCCCAAACTGTTCTTGATCAGGATGATGTTGCGATGGGTACCTCTATCATGATCTTTGCGCAGACTCTTGCCGGAGCAATTTTCGTGTCTGTGGGAAACACAATCTTTTTGAACAGTTTGATCCAAAATTTGAAGAAGGAGGTACCACAGATCAACCCAGATTTGGTCCTCGAGATCGGAGCTACGAATTTGAGAGCTGCTATCCCTGCACAATTGCTCGATGCTGTGCTGAAAGCATACAACAAAGCTATCACGCGCACTTTTTATGCAGCGGTGGCAATGTCTGCCCTGGCATTTGTTCTTTCATTCGGCATGGAGCTGAAATCAACCAAAAAGGTTGCACGTGCTAGGGAACAAAGGAATGAGAGTGTTGAGATGCCGAGACAAGCGACAGATAGAACCAATCATTCCATCCCATCACTCTCGACAGAGCCTACCAACGAACATGGGTATGAGAGTGCAATGTAGAACAAGACAGGTTTGATGCGCAATAGATGATTTTCGAAGGCAGTTCTCTCCTTGCGAAGAAGCCAGTGTCTATGCTATCCCAATGTAATCATATACAAGTCTAGCGAGTTCAACTTTCTCTCCCTTTTTGATCAACATCCGTCTTGTGTACCTCCTTTCCTGGTTGATGATTTCAAATCCCCAAATATGCTCTCCTGTCCACCGACCTTTGCTACTTTGAAGCACAATTCCAATATATTTGGCGTCCTCCCCATCAGACCAACCGAGCCCTTCGCCACCATCCTTCACCACCCTGCCTCTCAGGAAGTCATTCTCAGGGAGCTCAGCAAAACTATGCAAACCCATTTTTCCTTTGTAGTTGCCAATTATAGGATCTTTCTTCTCCCACTCGCTCCAATCGAGTTGGCACTTTTCCGTCGAACCTCCCCCAGGCATTCCAGAAACTGCAGAGGTAATCTCGATGCAGATCACACCATCATCCCAAGTCTCTGACTTTATTGATATCTTGGGCGTGGCTATTGATGCGGCTTTGCGAATTGGCCAGGAAATCCCTTGCTAGTGTTGGCGAAGATGTTAGTTTGGACTGAAAACTTCCCTATACCAGCCCCAGCTTAAACGAAAGCGTGAGGCAGGTGCATAGGAACATTAGAGTACAAGACATACAAGTGCAAGCAGTGAAACAACTGAGTCTGAGAGGGTCTTGTTCTGTGAAGCTGTGCATCAGTGGGTGGTTTACAAGGTTGACTAGGGACCATACAAGGACATATTTGCCATCAAGCCGGGAAAGGGAAACAGAGGTAGGAGCTGCCATAGTTGGGACCAGATAGGTGAGCGTTTGAGGTCAGATGATGGGTGTGCTCGAGCCTTGCAGACGGAATCCTGGCATAACTCAATATTGTTTTCATAATCGAATTTGTTGTTTTCAGCTGTCACGGATTGCCTCTGGAAGGATCCAGATAGAAAGTTTGCGCCAAGGATTGTGAGTTATTCTTGGTCAAGTTAAGCCACATTGACACATGAAAGCTGAGTAGTTCCAACGTGATTGGGAAAAAAGACTGTATGACTCTCCAAGAATTACTCAGTTGTGTAGGACGCCTGGGGGTGCCTGTCTTCCGCAGATGCAACTTAAAAGTGCATATGTACAGTCATACACATGGACAAACTATTAGCTCTGGAAGGCTGAGACAGTTTGATTTACCCTACCGAGACATGCAGGGACGAATTAGCCGTAGGCCGTTCGTAGCATTACTTGGTACATTAAGTTACGAGCTGGACGTCCTGATTAGTGAGGCCCCAGAGCAAAGCCTGCAAGGGAGTGGCACAGTGTTCGCAAGCCTTTGCGTTCCCAGTCCTAATTGAGCGTGTTTCGTCTTATGTTCCGAGCTCCATAGAGTGAGAAAGTAGCATTCCTTCTTGGTGAAATGCTTTGTTTGCGAACGTCGGAAAGATTCCCCCAAATTCCGTGGGTAGGTACCTAATAGTCGGACTTGACGTCGCGCTAAAGGGGCCCTTCCCTTTAGTCGGGGAAAGCGAGTTGTCCCGGGAAAGCGAGATGTCCCGCACCAAATAAAATCCTTAATAACTTGAAACCTTAACCTTTTTAAATAATTCTAGATAATAGAATTAAAAATACAAGCCTTATAAACTAGATATGATTCTCTAAATCTTAAACAAAGATGTGGGTAAAGAGTTATTAAGGTTTTAATAATATAATCGCGAGGAATACAAAAATCGTAAGAATTATTTGTTCGCAACCGTTTTGCGAGTATTAGACCTATGACTTTTGCTTAATTATAATTTTTTATTCTTTTACTTAAAACTTTAGCCTTTAAGTATGCGATAGGTAACTATGAGATCGCGAATAAAACGTATTAATTAGATTTTCTATTACTAGTTCCTAATATTGTTTTTTAGAAGGCAAAAATGGCCGAAACGGGACATCTCGCTTTCCCGGGACAACTCGCTTTCCCGGGACAACTCGCTTTCCCCGACTAAAGGGAAGGGCCCCTTTAGCGCGACGTCAAGTCCGACTATTACCTATAAGCGAAAAGAAGTAAGCGAAAAGAGGAAAGCGAAAAGCGGAAAGCGAAAAGCGAAAAGCGAAAAGCGAAAAGCGAAAAGCGAGCTGCGAGGTACGTGACTCGCGAGGAAAAGGAAGGCCTATGATTATAGGCTACTTGTCGCTAAATTTTAGGGCTATAATTGCTAAGTTATAGGCTATAGGTACTAAAAATTTAGCGACATAAATTTTTGGTTAAGTCCCCTCGCTTTGCCCCCCCCCCCCTTCCCCTTTCCCCCTATAAGCCCCCTCTCTTATCCATATATATATATAGAGAGAGAGTGAGAGAAGAATTAAAGAAAGTAAATATTTGAAGTAGTAATAGAGGTATAGGGAGAGGGTATAGTATGTGGGCGTAATATGTGGTATTTGCGATTTTTGGTAGGGTATTCACGTGCCACAAATCGGACATCGAAAGTCGAAAACCGGATTCGAAAATCGCTTGGTCTTCTGATCCTTATCGCTTTCCGTAGCAGTGAAGTGTGCCTGACAGCCTGAAGCGCATAGACTTATCTTAACCGGCTCGTTACCTCGCATCGCTAAGTTGGCAAGATTTCAACTGTCGCTGTGATGTGAGCGTTGGCTGTTCTGTATCTGAATCGCTCCAAGTTGGAAGCGTTTGCACTTTATATTTATTGTTCAAAATTACAACAAGGTACGAGTTCAATTGTTCAGCACTGCTTATCAATCCAGAGTCACTTTGGAAAAGGAACTTGTATCAGGCTTGGCAACGATACCAGAATTTTAGTATCGATACCTTATCGCTAAATTTTCGCGAAAATTTAGGGGCCTCTAGCCTATAAATTTAGCGATAAACTGCCTGAAATTTAGGGACTGTGCACTAAAAAATCAGCGATAAGCTTATCGGGATCGCAAAACTCATAAAATCATATTTTTATTAAAAATTTCGTTATATTACATATTTATTTAAACCAAATTATTAGCATTCTTAATGCTTACAAATTTTTATTTTTTAATTCATATAAAATAATAGCAAATAAGAATAATTAAATAATAATTAAAATATGGGGCAAGTATTAATACGTATTAATACGGTATTTTTGCCAAGCCTGACTTGTATAGTCCGAATCGCTCCCCACCCCTGGACACTGTTGGTGGAATACGGCAGATAATGTTAATAAAGCGATGTCAACTCAAAACATCCTGCAAATAATCTAATCCCTTCCAATACCCTTATTATCTTCCAAAATCTCCAGTCCAAGAGGCCAAATGTAACTCCGTTGATCATTAGTTGGCAAAGAGGATTCATTGGGTTGTGTTGACAGCGACTCCGTTGTTTTCGTTTCTTGTACCAACATGCCTGGGTAGCTACTTTGTGCCTCACCATTCCTCAGCTTACTTGAATGGACGGTCAACAAAGGAGAGATGGAAGCCGTTGACAAGTCCCAAATTCTCTTCAGCAGCTTTCAGTCAGCTTAGTCATTGACCAACTCAAAGCGCCCATACCTCTCTGCAATAAACAGACTCCTGCATCATAGTCTTTACCGCTTCTGCATCTCGAGCTTGACATGCAAAGGCGTTGCCAGTGACGACTGCGTTTGGTGAAGTTGAGCTTAAGCATTCGCCGAAGAATGAAGACAGTGGGAGCACACGATCCGGCTCTGTGATTCGAGATCGGTTTGCAGAGGAGAAGTCAAACACAGTAACAAAACTGAGAATGTTATTATTCAACTCGAAACCAAATTGGAGAGTTATACAAGGAATACATAACGTACTATTCTCTGGAACGTTTTCTAGAAACCTGTGAGACTTGACTGGCCAAGCGGGCACTCAATGAAAGGCCCGTCGTACGATAAGTGCTTGAGAGCATGGCTTTAAGACAGAATCCCCCTAAAGAACCTCAGATCCAAATACGAAGTGCAAAATTCACCACTGCTCAGTTGCCAGCTTGCGGTGGACGTTGAGTTAATCCTTGGGACAGTTGATACCCCAGAATTATCCCCCAACCTGTCCTCTCGAACTGTCATCAAACCCAGCAAGCACGAAACCAAATATAGAACTACATAATATCATTGCCAGTCAGCCAGAAATGTATTTAGACCTTGCATCATCCGTTTCAAAGGCCGCTAAACCAGTACACGGATTCTCCACCCTCGCAGTAACTTTCTTCACACTCAGCATGTATCAGATTGCCACGAAATCAGCCTTACAAAGTTCTGCTCAGAGCTCTGTAAGAGTCACGCTAATCACTCGATCTACATTGACTTCATCCCATCAGCTTGCCGAACGACTCGTCGTGCTGCCTGACAAACCGAATGTGGTGAGACTCCCAAAGCTCTAGCCATCAGTAGCCACCAAGCTTACGCTTCTCACAGTTAGCACGCCGAGTTCAAATCCGCCCCCAACACTCCCCAAACTTCGTAAAACTTCACAACGAAGGCTACGTCTCGTGGGCTGGTTCGCGAGCTCGCCAATCACATCTCTTGGCTTGGCTGACGTGGGAATTAGGACCCTTGTTCAAGGAACATGTCGATAAGCCAATTTCGGAACGCCCTTTCAAGGGATCGGCCATGGTTGTGAACGAGGAGAGTTGGAGTGGTTTCATGAAGACCATTGGAAGTGATCCTTACGTCAAGGAAGGAATTTGGGATTTGGAGAAGACGCAATTCATCCCTTTTCGCACACTCTTCCGAATTGGCAACGAGGGCAAGTGATTGGGCGCCAGATGGCAGGAGAGAATTTGAGTGGACTTTTTGCTGCTTTGCTGCTTTGCTGGAAGAAAGAAAAAACGAATTTTGTATGCTCTGAACTTGGAATCAATACATTGTACTCGTTTTTTCATATCCACTCCAGCATCATGATTGAGTCACTCTTCACTTGGCTCTCCCACTTTTTGAACTGGCGGTCCTGCCTAATCATCTTTGTCCTCATGAATCTCAAGAGTATTCCGCTATCATGGCATCTCAGAGCACTCTACCATTTTCTCCGCCATCACCCCGGCAAGCCATATTCAAATGCCTCTCCAGTCACATCCTCAGATGTAAAACCTCAGTCGACACCAGCGGCAACTAAGCTCCTCTTTGGCACTGTAACAATAACAACCCAATCCCCAATGCTCGAGGCCGATTTCAACTGGCACAAAAGCAACAGCACATACTTTAGCGATCTCGACATCTCGCGACTCGTTCTCATGACACGCGTGTATTTCGGCGGCTTCTCAGTCATCAGTCGCGAACTTGCCTCCGAAGGGCACACAGGACGGATGAGTTTCACACTTGGAAGTGTGTACTGCTCTTTTCGCCGGCCGCTGAGACCATATGATTCGTATGCAGTGAGCAGTAAGGTCTTGGCATGGGATCGAAAATGGCTGTACATTATCAGCTGGTTTGAGCGAAAGGGAAGCAGTGGGGTTATTGCGACTGCGGTAAGCAAGTATGTTTGTAAGAAGGGGAGGTTTACTGTTCCACCTGAACGGCTGTTGAGGGCTTCCGGGCTTTTGCCATCCAAGGGACATTTTGCCCGATCGGATGTCAATAAGAAGAGTGGAGAAAGAACAACGGGGGCTCGAACTACAGAAGAACCGCAATGTGAAAAGGGAGGCGAGCGAGTGGCTTCTGTGATTTCAAAGGACGAGGAACAATGGGAGAGTGAAATTGAAACTGAGCGTGTTCGTGGCCTGGAGTCTGTGAAGAGCTTTATTGATTTAGATGATATATCCTTCTCGGAGGTAGCGAAGATACTTCAGTCTTGACGGCATTTTAGAGATGAGATTGAAAGTTGCCAACAGCTGAAGACAATGTTTAAAAAAGAATTGTATGTACGAAATGAAAGTAACCTCCGTTGTGAGACTCGTTTCTCCTGCAAAGCTGCCAACTTGGCCGCACAGGAGAGTGGAGAAATACTATTCAAAATCCAAACAACAATCATTCAGATTCAGGAAGGTTCTTCTATGGTGCACAAAGGCAAATAAAGTGAGAATCAAGCAAATTCTCAGCCAGTTTTCTTGTCATTCTCTTCTATTTCATGGTTATTTGATGTATAACCATCCGACGTGCAATTCAGTTGAATTCACTATCATGTTTACTCCCAATTGCCACTCAAATCTCTCAATCGGAACTCAATCAAAGGCCCATCTTTCTGTCCAGTGACATGATCCTTCAAGTGAAACTGCTCAGCAGCCATCGTTCCATCAGCCCATGCAACCTCATCTCTGTTGCTGGCACGGAAATCGAATTGCCACAGAAATGTCGCCATTGTAAGCATGAGCTCAACGAGTGCAAGTGGCTTTCCTACACAACTTCTCGGTCCTAAGCCAAACGGCATATAAGCACTACGCATCTTTTTTAACTCTTCGGTGCCATTGATTGTCTTCAGCCATCGATCAGGATTGTATCTGTATGGCTCAGGGAAGTATTCTGGGTTGTGGTGGATGCTGTGAATTCCTACGGCGACATCAACTCCTTCTTGAATGTGCATGCCATTGATCAAAGCGCCGCCTTTATATACCTCACGCCAGAGTGGGCCACCTCCTGGGGGTGACATACGAAGAGCCTCATCAATACAAGCGCGTAGATAGGTGCAGGAACAGGCTCGGCAAAAATTCCCTAATTTCCGGTATCGATAGGAATCGATGCCAGAATCGTAAGGTATCGATACTTAGTCAGTATTTGCCCTATTTCTAAGGCCCTATATAATTATTTTGACCCCACTATCTGATTTACTAAATAATTATATAATTCACAGCTTAATATAACTAATTCTAATACCCTAGCTAATTATTTTAATTCTATTATCTGAACTATAGTAAATAACTATATGATTCACAGCTTTGTAGCCCTATTTCTAAGGCTCTAGCCAATTATTTTCCCCGCATTATCTGAACTATACCAAATAACTATATGATTCACAGCTTGATTCATAGCTTAATCGGAATTATTCAGGCTCCCATTTGAGTCATTTTTAGCCCTAGATATCTATATAATAGGCTCTTAGCTCTTAGCCCTCCCTCCAACTTCCTTATATACATATATACTCTCTCTCTCCCCTTATATACTCTATATATACACCTTATATATAATACTTTATATATACTACTTCATATATATATATATATATATATATAATAGCAGCCCAAGCTTAATAAGATCTCGTTATCTGGACTCGTATGGACCCCTCTCATAATACTGAGGCTCAGTACTTCCTTCGTATAGGAGGAAATAAGCTCTAGTCCTCAGTTATTAATGGTAGCCCTTAGCAGAAGCATACCTTTAATATTAATAATCCAGAACCCTTAGATATTGCAATTAAGGGTTCCTATACTCTTGGTACCTTTAATACCCTACTTCTCCCTGAGGTTATTAATATAATCTTAACCTAGCAAGTATAAGTTATTTTTCCTGAGTTTACATAATCTGTACTAAGTAATATAGTAGCAAAGTTAATATCCAGACTTCTTATACTACTTATAATAAGGGTTAAGGTATATTTATAGAGTATTTAAGGATTTCTAATAAAGAATAATATAGGGTATATGGTAATTATATTCGTTATAGTTATATGACCTAATATATTATACGAGATATTAATAATAATAGAGAAAAGGGAGGTTCTAGAGAAAAGCCTAAATCTCCTAAAATTATATAAAATAGACGGGTTTTAAAGCCTGGAGCTTATCCTAGCTAGCAAGTTTATAAGTTCTAGATAGGGCTACTTACTCTCTTTATATTATATAATTACCTGGCTTTTATATAATATTTAATAGACTATATTAAGCTCTTAATATATTTACCCTCTTTTAATTTTACTTATAATTGCAATTACTTTTATATAATATCTAAAAACTAAGAGAAGAAATTCTAATCTAGTCCTAAAATATTATATGAAAAGTATAGAATTTCCCTTTATTCTCAGATTCCTCTCTTAGTCTTAAGGAAAGTATTTAGAATCCTACTTCTTTTCTAGTACTTTAAGTACTCTCGTATCTCAATTATCTCTGCCTCTATTTATGCCCTATCCCAGCTTACTATATAATGTTTTCCTGAAAATACTCTCTCTGGCTCATTACTTATTAGTAAAATAAAGAGAATATTAATAGCTATAAGAGAAAGCCTTAGCTAGTATTACCTCTATATATCCTAATACTACTATATAAGGGCCCCCTATTTACTAGGATTATATAATTCTAGTAAGTTATAGTCTTTAAACTCGTCTTAACTTATAGGACGAGCTTCTATTCTAAGAGATAAGGTAATATAATTATATATATCTAGTTCTAGTATCTCGTAAGACGAGCCTTTATACCAAAAAGCTAGTAGTATAGGTATAGTAATAGGCCTTTCCTAATATTTCTCCCAGAGCTTTTTAACCTTAGCTAAGACTAGCTTTAACTATTTCTTTAGCTAGTATATCTTAATATATCTTATATAATTATGAGAATTTAAGATTAATATAGTAGTATAAACTAGAAATATATTAGTTCTTATATAATAATTATCCAGAACCTTATATATTACCTCGATTTAATAAAGGAAGTCTCTTCCCTCTAGATCCTTACTTTTCTGATATTTAGCCTATTAGAATTAGTATAGTTATATAAGATTATATAAAAGGAAAAAATAACTTATATTCTCTTATTAGAGGTATTTAATTAAGATATTTATTATAAAGAAAGTAGAATTAAGGGAAGTTGAGCCCTTAGCTACAAGAATAGCTTATATAAAGGATATAAGAAAATCCTTAATTATATAAAGCTTTTTCTAATCTTTAGAAGTTAAGATATCCTCCTTAAGCTTCTCCTTATGGTTTTAATAATACCTTTCTACTACTAGCCTTAAATCAAGTAATATATAAAGTATCTTATACTAGCTATTTTACCTCATATAATTATTTATTAGAATTAGCCTTTTCGTAAGTATATGAAACTCCTCTATTCTTCTAGCTAACCTATAAATATAAACCATAATATTATATACTTGGTCAAGGGGTTCTATTAGCCTAAACTGGGCCTTTATTACCTCTATTATATTAAAAACTCTAGTATACTACTCCTGCTTATTATATAAATCAAGATTCTCCAAGCTAACCTAATTTGTAAATAAGAAGGCTTATATAACTAGATTAATAATATGGCCCAGATAGTAAATATACTAGTAATCTGCCTCCTAGTTTAAGCTTAGCTTATTCTTTAGCTTCTTTTGAACTAATTAATAAAGGATATTATTTATTAAGGCATTATTATATATAATAGCTCTAAGCTTATAAGTAATACTATAATCTTAAAGAACTGGCTAAAGAATTAATATTTGAGCTTCTGAGCTATAGCTAAGGACCTGCTTTAAAGCGAGAAGGGCCTTTTATTACTTTCTATTATATATAGTAAAATGGCTATAGATTATAAGTAAAAGTAATTAATTTAGAGAGGTCCAGATATCTAGAGAGATATAAATAAGTGAGAATATAGCCTGGACTACTTATTATATAGTATCCTAGTACCCTTTCCAAGCGCCTTTAACGGAGCTAGTAATTCCTAAATACGAAGTTATAATCTTGCCTTTAATAGCTTGATTAAGTGCTTGGCAAAGCATATGGAACTCTGGCCATTTAATAAGAGTATAGGACAGATTCTATATAATAATGAGAGTAATTAGAGCTTTAAGAATAACCGAGATATTGAGGTGAGCTTCCAGGATCTTAGTATTAAGCTTCTCTTGCTTGCTCGTTCTAGTAGATTAGTGGTAATATTGCCTTAATTGCAAATTAACTATTATTTGGTTCTTACTAATAGCCATCTTAATAAGGATCTTGTAAAAACCTTATATATGCTTCTTTATATTCTCTGAAAGAGAAGTATGATATGGCTTTCTCGTTTCCTTATTATAATGGATATAATAGAAGTGGGCTTGGTTCTCCTTCTTAGTGGGATTACGTATATGCTTCCAGACCGGGGCCCTCAATTTTCGGCTGGAAGGGGCTTCTAGTTCTAGATCTACAAAAGCAGAAGCTAGAGAGAAAGAGTCTAGCTTATGCGAAGAAGACATTTTGAGTGTATAATCCAAATAGAATGAGAATAAAAGATGTGAGAATGGAGAGAGTGAAAAATTAGAGGGTGCGGGGTAGAAAGCGGTATAGGAATCGATAAGGAATCGATACGTATCGATACTTACTAATACCTTATTAATACCAGTAACTATCGATTCCTTATCGATACCTCAGGTATTTTTGCCGAGCCTGTGCAGGAATTGAGCAGAGGGCCCATGCGTATCTCTTCAAGATTGGTGAAGCACCTCCTGACCTCTTCTGCAGCTTTCCTGTAGGCTAGTGGAGAGAAGGAAAGATAATGAAGTGTTGCTGCCATCGAAGTTGAAGTAGTGTCGGAACCTACAGAAATGTCAGATCGGAAATCCATCGCTCAAAATCAAGAATGTCGTTTAGGAAGTTTTACCAGCTATGATCAATGTCGCAGTTTCGGTACTGAGCTCGGTGATATCCAAGCTGTTGCCAGTGTCAGGGTCCTTTGCTTGTTGCACAAAGGAGAAGACATCTTTGCGATCTTCCTTGGATGGCTTCAGTCTTTCACCCAAAACCTTTCGAATGAACATGGCGAACATGTATCGTGCCTTCAATGCCTGTGGAAAGAGAAGTGGTTGGAGTTTCCTGCGGCGAAGCTCTGGAGCTTGGACAAGAACACCGAGTCGAACGTTCGACTCTTCAATTGCTGTCATAGCATAACGGTACTTTAGGTCGCCGATTGTATTAAAGCGAGCACTGAACAGTACATCCGTCATAATATCGAAGGTAAGATGGTCAACTGTCAAGGGTCAATCGCGCAATCAGTATCGGCAGACAGAATTTATTACTCACAACAATGGCCCATGTCCTTTGAGTCACTCCATTCCCGCGAAGATTTGTCCGTCTCCTGCGGAACTTCCACCATGGTATCACTCAGCTGATGGATTTTCTCAATGACCTTTGGTTCGAATGATCGCAGTGTGTTCTCGGAAAATGCCTGGCTGATCACCCTCCTCCTCTTGCCATGGAGGGCTTTGTCCCGAAGAGTCAGGGAATTTGGAGCTTGCGCGGATAGGGCGTGATACACCTTGGACTTTAAGACATTACTGCGGTGAGAATATATATCTGCAGAGGATCAGCTGAGTTGCGGATGTGGAACGACAAGCAACATACCGGAGACACTCTCTGCAGTGTTGAAAAGAAGACGTTCGGGTGAGTATCGAATGACCTTGCCTGCGATTGACTTAGTAGAGCTTGAGTGGTTCGGATATATGTGGAAATCAGACCATATCTCTCGTGGCATTTCAAGATATCAGTATGCACATCTCCCCGCCAAGCGTGATATCCCGCGTACAGGTTGGTGACTTTAGCCAGAATGGGTCCAGGGTATTTCGACAGAGGGTGAAAGTAGATGCGATATAGGCAGATTAACGATATCTTGAATAAATGTCAGGTTTCGAACTCAAGGTTCTTCTCTGTGATGCTGTTTTCACTTACATATGCGATCGGAATCAACAGGAGCCCGGGGACGATGGTTTTGAGGAGGAACAAGCCCCAATCCCACGCATCCAGAAAGCTCAGATAGAATGTAGCAGCACCCATATTGACTGAATATTTAATTACTTGGATTGTGAAGAGAGATCCAGGAGCTGCAAGATGGAAGCAATACACATAGACGATAGAAAGCCCTCGGTTTCGAGATGGTATGAAAGCCCCAACAGGTACCTCACTTGTTTCACATTCCTGCGAAGTCTTTCAATCCCAGGCCTATTCTGAAAAAAAACCATCACTAGATCACATTGGCAAATCAGATATCCAATATTTTAGTGCCCATAGTGGCTCACTTGCCACCATGCCTGCTTCTCTTCTACGAATAAGCATTCCGGGGTTGGATGGCTGGCGGTTTGCTAGGATTCAGCTCCTTCCTAGATCTACGGATGTTAGCTTGACCTTTGAAGGATTGACGGCTTTTGGTACCTTAGTCTGCCCAAGTATTATGAGATATTCTCTGCGGTGTTCTGGATCTCGTAATACTTGCAGTGCCTTTGCCAGACAGTTGGGTACTGGACTGAGTCAGAAAGGGCTGAGGCGCAGGGGGGCCCCCAACATTGTGAGTACTTGTATTTTACGAAGTTTCTCTAGATCCAGTCAATCAGAGCCTGCGATCTGTCGTGGGAACCTAATTTCTGCTTTCAAGCTTCGAATACGAAATTTTCGTTAAACCAAACTAGACAGAGCGCTAGTTCTGGGAGTTCTAAAGCTTATTTCTCTACTAATATTAGGACCTTAATAGGCTAGGGGCACCCCGTTCGGCACCTTCGGCGCCTCACAGGAGCGTATATACACGTATACCTTAAGTGCAGGAAGCGCACGTGTATCCTTGAGGATATACTTCCTAAGCGATTACAAGTAAGGGACAGAGGGACGTACGAAGATCACGGCATAAAGTGACGGGACTACAGGGCATTTGGACCCTTGGCACCCCTCAGGACACAATTTAGTGGCTTGAGCCCGCTGTAAGGCCCTATGGCTCCAGGCCATATGCCCTAAGCAGATCTCAAGAGGCGTTGTGAGACATTCGCAAGGTATGAGATGTCCTTAGGGGTAAATAGCGCTGCTGGCAGAGCAACCATAGCACTTGGACGCTAAATAGGTAGTTACTATAGGGCTCTTTAGCGAGATGTTCCTTGTAAGTACAGGGGAGTAGCCCTAAAAAGGTAGGGTACCCCTGGCTCCCGCTTTCTAGCGTGCTTTTAGGGCATTGGCCTAGAATTATAGGGTAATTTAGTGCCCAAGTGCGCTAAAAAAAAAAGACACTGAAGTGCTGTAAAGCACAAATGCCCTGTAATCCCGTCACTTTATGCCGTGATCTTCGTACGTCTTGTCCACCTTTTGTGCATATGCTACGGGCTAAAAAATAGCCGAAAAAGAAAATCTTACTTTACGATAAAATCGTATAAATTAGCTTACTCTATACGGGGGAAGGGGGCTAGAGGGAGATCCAATTCTCAATTGCATAAGCACCCGTTCTAGGGTTTACCCAGAGAGGGTGCTTATGCATTCTAATCAGAGTTGGCCTCCTGTCATTTCCCCTTTGGGCGTACACCCATGTTTTAGGAATGCTACGCGAGCAAAACGGGGATGTTGCAGGGATTGGAAGGGGCACACTGTTTTTGTATCCATATCCGATCAAATCCCTCCAAGACAGGGGTTTTCCTGTTGCAAAGTAAGACCACCTTCCAATCGGGGCTTGCACGTAATTCCGATTACCCCACAGTAAGAAGCTTCTAAGCACCTTCTACAGTAAGCACCCAAGCGTCTAGGCACTGCGGTTTCTATCTCCACTTCCTCTCAGCTTTCATCATGAAAATGAGACCCAAGATGGGCCAACCAGGCCCACCATGCGGCGCCTGTGCCGCGAACCTTACCCGGTACAACATGATACTATTCTGGAAATTGAGCTGGGAGGCAGCAAACGCTGTATCGCGCGATGGATCACAGCTTCTGCGCCTTTCGCGAGTTCTGACATGATTCCACGGACGTTGATGGCTAATGAGCCTCAGCCCCCAGCCCAGTTTTGCCGTTTTCACTGCTGCGAGGCCATTCTAAGTGAGATATCGCTTCTCAAGATCTCAGCGTAGCCGCTGCCAATCAGTAAAATATCAGAATTCTCTTTGAAGACTGACTTTGTTCTTATCCGCTCCAATCGCTTGTACCTTTCAACCAGGCTCGATTTCCTTCCCCACGTTCTACACTCTGCCCCAGATTCTTTTGAGTAGTATACTACTCATCCTCTCATTCCGACATTTGGACTACCCCTAGTCACTTTATCTATACAATCTTCAGCATGGGTGATTTTGACCCTTCCATCTCTCCAACTATGGAGCCTTACTCATCGGAGAAGCCTGATGTCTCCACCTTCGAGCCAATTGCCATCGTGGGCATGGCAATGCGACTGCCCGGCGGGGTACGAAATAGCAAAGATTTCTGGGACATGTTGGTCAACAAAAAGAGTGGACTTTGCCCAGTTCCTGCCGACCGATACAACATTGACGGATTTTACAATGACGAGTCCGAAACTGCTACTCGTGGTACAGTTCAGCAACCATTGGGATACTTCCTTGATCATGTCCAAATCAAACAACTTGATATGTCATTCTTTTCGTTCCCCAAAAAGGAACTGGAACGGCTGGATCCACAACAGAGACAGTTGCTGGAAGTTGCGTGGGAGTGTATGGAGAATGCTGGTGCAACGAACTGGCGAGGTACTGATATTGGCTGTTTTGTTGGGGTCCTAGGCGAGGACTGGAGGGATATTAACTCAAAAGAGACTCAACACTCGGGATCCTACCGAGTCACGGGATATGAGGATGCTTTCCTTGCGAATCGTCTGTCGTTCGAATATGATCTTCATGGTCCAAGGTACTTGCACGTTTCCTGTTACAAAGCTCTTTGCTAACATGAACGCAGTTTAACCGTGAAGACTGCGTGCTCTTCGTCCCTATCAGCGCTGCACCTCGCATGCGATGCTATTCGGCTGGGCGACTGTTCTTCCGCTTTGATCGCTGGCAGTAGTCTTATCTTTTCTCCTAGTATGACACTTGCTTTCTCTGATCAAGGAATCGTTTCACCCACGGGAACTTGCAAAACATTCGACGCAGGCGCAGATGGTTATGCTCGAGGTGAAGCGATCAACATGATTTATATCAAGAAGTTGAGCGATGCCATTGCAGCAGGCGATCCAATCCGTGCTGTAATTCGTGCCACGGCGACAAACTGTGATGGAAGAACCCCAGGTGTCATGACTCCAAGTCCCAAGGCGCAGGAAGCCCTCATTCGTCGCGCATACGCCGTCGCCGGTATCTCGGACTTTTCCCAGACTGGCTTTGTGGAATGTCATGGGACAGGTACGCAAGTCGGCGATCCACTAGAGACAGCTGCTGTAGCTAGCGTTTTTGGCGAGAAAGGAGTATTAATTACATCGGTAAGCTGAGTCCTCGAAGGCTGCAAATTACCCTGTGCTCAAGCTCATTATCATCAGGTCAAGCCCAATGTCGGTCATTCCGAAGGAGCAGCTGGCATTTCTAGTGTCATTAAAGCAGTGCTGGCTTTAGAAAACCGAACGATTCCGCCAAATATCTTCTTCAACCAACCAAACCCCAAAAGTATGCCCGTCTCTCAATGTCATGCCACGATACTGACTTTTGGTAATAGTACCCTTCGAGCAAGCCAAGTTGCGAGTGCCGGTTGATGCTGAACCATGGCCCACCGATCGTGCAGCTAGAGTCAGTGTCAATTCATTTGGTATTGGTGGTGCCAACGCTCATGTAAGTCAGCCTGAGGGTTTTGCGAGCCACCTTCTCACTTACAGCCAGGTTATTATTGATGGGTGGGTGGAACATGAGCTTGACAGCGGTCATGGTAGTTTGGACGAGGAGATCACTCCTTCTAGTGATGAGCAATACCACTTGCTTTTATTTTCTGCTAAAAGCAAAGAGTCCGTCGACAGCAGCATTTCAAACCACCAACGCTACATTAACGATATTCCAGTCAGGCTGCAAGACCTGTCGCACACCTTGGCAAGCAGACGAGAGCATCTGCCATATCGAGCATTCGCGTTGACAAATAATTTATCGAATCTGGAAACAACACCTGTTGAATTGACTGGAAGTGTCCCAAAGGTTGTCTATATCTTTACAGGCCAGGGCGCTCAATGGCCACAAATGGGCAGGCGATTACTTCAGGTGAACTCAGCGTTCAGGCAAAGTATCAGGGAATTGGACGAATCTCTCAAAGGTGTTGCTCCAGAGTTGACCTGGAAAATTGAAGGTAAATGATTCTGTTGCCAGACGAGGCACCTGTGCTGATCCACGTTATAGATGAGCTATGTAAACCTGCCACCGAAAGCAAGATCCACACTGCAGAACTTTCTCAACCCATCTGCACAGCCATCCAAATTGCTTTGGTCGAGACCCTCCGTCTCTGGAAGATCGAGCCAGATGCTGTTCTTGGACACTCTTCTGGTGAGATTGCTGCTGCCTACACATGCGGTGCTATTTCCATGGCCTCTGCTCTGGCTATCGCGTGCTTCCGCGGTGCTACAGCACATGCTTCACGCCGGAAGGGCGGCATGGCTGCCATCGGACTCGGGCGTGAAGCTCTCCTCGGTTTCCTAGAGCCAGGGGTTGTCATTGCTTGTGAGAACAGTCAGAGTAGCAGTACGCTTTCTGGAGACCTGCAGCAGGTTGAAAAGGTTGTTGGCAAGATAAAGGAAGAATGTCCAGACGTCTTAGCTCGCATGTTGAAAGTTGAGAAAGCATACCATTCTCGTAAGTGACTCGTGTCTAAATCAACATTCTGTAGTGCTGACATGGGGGATAGATCATATGGAGGAAGTAGGCTCCAGTTACCAAGAACAGCTTACCGGCGTTGTCACGAGCTCGGCACCAAAGATTCCATTCTACTCGAGTGTTACGGCAAGCAGAATTGGCGATGCAAATGCTCTTGGACCTGCATACTGGCGTGCAAATCTAGAAAGCCCAGTGCTTTTCAATTCCGCACTTCGTGTTCTTCGCGCCGAGCTTCAAGGGAGAACTTCCTTCGCGAAATCGGCCCTCACCCAGCACTCAAGGGTCCTCTACAGCAGATTCTGCGTGATATCGGCCAAGCCGACGACTTCCATCTCAGTACGCTGCACCGCGGCGCTGATTGTCAGCAAAGCCTTCTGAGTTTAGCTGGGAAGTTATTCTTGAAAAACTATCCTCTTGACCTTGGAGAAATTTCACCGCCAGGGACTATCCTCACTGATTTACCCAACTATGCTTGGCTCCATGACATCAAGCACTGGGATGAATCACGCCTCACCAATGAGTGGAGATTTCGCTCTCAAACACCACATGAACTTCTTGGGACACGCATCCTCGAAGTTAGTAGCGAGCTGCACTGGAGGAACAAATTTGGCATCGATAACCTCCCATGGCTGACAGGGCATCAAGTCAGCGGGTCCATTGTCTTTCCCGCCGCTGGTTATATCACCATAGTTGGAGAGGCCCTCCGACAGCTTTCCGGGGTCAAAGACTACAGTTTGCGACATGTCAAGATCTCATCAGCACTGACACTTGAGCACAACGAAGAAGTGGAGATGGTCACGAGTTTAAATCCTCTTCTTACTGAATCTCCAGAAGATTCTCCGTGGTATACATTTCATATCAGCTCCTACAATGGAGTTGGCTGGGTGAAGCACTGCTCAGGAGAAGGTCGGGCTTCTTTCGACGAGATTTCTTACCCCCGATCAGTCGATGAAGCGCGCCCGTTGCCACGAAAAGTCTCTTCCAACTCGTGGTATGAAGCGATGAATGCAGTGGGTTTCTGCTACGATGGGCTATTCCGCGGATTGCATTCCATATCCGCGGGAACATCACACAACGAAGCTGTCGCCACAGTACCGAGTCCAACTAAGCAAGAATGTCTTCCCTACACGCTACACCCAGCTATGATCGATCAATGTTTCCAACTTCTTGCTCTTGCTTTAATCCAAGGCCAAACGAGGAAGCTAGACCGACTTTCGGTCCCTACGTTTATCGACGAAATTGTCATCCTGTCAAGCGGGGCTAATCTACAAGTCAAAGCATCTGGCTCTGTGTCCGCCAAGGGTGGCTTTACCGGCAGCTTAACTGCTCAACATAACGGAGAGGTCTCCATGTTCATGAAAGGCCTTAAATCAACACCTCTTGACACAGGAGAGCCAGTCGATCAAGGTCTTCGATTGGTTCAGCAAATTGAGTGGAAGCCGGACAGCGATTTCATGCAACTGGAGAACTGTTTTAAGCTGAAAGAAAGGGAAAAGGAAGAATTCCTCCAACTAGAATCGCTTTTTATGCTCTGTATTGTGGATCATCTGGAAAACATTACGTTAAATGATGATACGCCACCATACCTCCGGAAATACTTCGAGTGGATGCAGACGCAAGTCGCACTCGTTCAGTCGGGCGAGCGAAACCTAGTTGAAAAGGCCCAAGTCCTGTGCGAATCTTCTCAAAGACAAGAAAAAATTAAGTCCACGGCAGCTGCGATTGAAAAGACCGGAGTGGCTGATTGTGCGGTTGCCATTCTCCGACTGTTTGAAGCTGCGGGAGCCTTTGCAGCAAAGGCACAGCCTCTGGACATCCTGATGGAGGGAAACTTATTGTCTCGCCTTTACGATATCCTTGATTCTGGTGACTATGTCACAGCCATCAACGCAATTGGATACAAGAACCCCCGACTAAGTATTCTTGAAATTGGAGCGGGAACTGGTGGAACTAGTGCCCAAATTTTGGAGGCATTAAAATCACCCTTTGGCGAGCGAATGTATAGCAAGTACACCTACACAGATATCTCCCAGGTTTCATGAATGCTGCCAAAGAAAGATTTCACCAGTACGAGAATATCGAATATCGAGTTTTAGACATCAGCAAAGATCCGGCGGAGCAAGGTTTTGACTTGGGTGCCTACGACCTTATTATCGGTGCTAATGTTGTGCATGCGACACCCTCCTTGAACACTTCTCTTACGCATTTGCGAAGTTTATTGCAACCCGGCGGTCGTCTCTTCCTCCAAGAGCTGAGCCCAGAAACGAAGTGGGTCAATTACATATGGGGATACCTGTCAGGTTGGTGGCTAGGATCTGAAGATGGACGTCCGGACGAGCCATATGTCTCTCCGTCGAGATGGTCTCAAGAACTGATTTGTGCCGGCTTCGACACGCCCGATACAATTGTATATGACGGCCTTGCCCCTTGTCATTTGAATGCAAACATCATTGCATCAGCTTCTTCGGATGATGCAAAAGAAAAAAGATTGACCATTCTTTGCATGGATCTAGAGGAGCCACACGTTCGGGCTATGAAACTCCGTTTAGAGACGAAAAGCGTTGCAGTTGACATCTGCCTTCTAAATCAGACTCCCCCACCTGACCAGGACATCATTGCACTCCTCGATTTTCCAGATCCCATCTTGCACAGTATGTCTAAAGAAGTCTTCGGAACCATTTTCCGTCACGTCCTTGCGATGAAGAGTAAAATATTCTGGGTAACACAAGCTGCCCAAATTAACAGCAAGGACCCTCGCCACGCAATGATACTTGGAATCGCCCGAACAGCTCGCAATGAACAGGCTGCAAAACTCTACACGATCGAATTGGATGGCAAGACCGAGAGCACAACAGTAGCTGATAGAATTGCTGCGATAGTTTCACGAGTTAACAAAAAGTCTGCCCAAGATGATGCAGTTATTGTCGATTGGGAATATGCGATTGTCGATGGCCAGGTCAATGTTCCTCGAATGCACTGGCAAACTATGCCAGAATCAATGGCGCAGTGTGATGTTCAACCAAAAAGTACCACTCAACACCTGACTGTAGGCACCCCAGGACTACTACACACAATGCAATGGACAGAAGAGGCACTGCCTGAATTGCGAGATGATGAGGTCTGTATTCAGATCAAGTCAGTTGGGATGAATTTCAAAGTGGGTACTCCAGAGTTCAAAATTAAAAAGAGCTACAACTAACCTCAGTCAAAGGATGTTCTTATCGCAATGGCAATCTTGGACAATGATGTTGCTGAGATTGGATTGGAAGCATCTGGCATTGTTCAATCTCGAGGCTCTGCAGTCACACATTTGGAAATCGGCGATCGCGTTGCGTTCATGTGCCCTGGCAGCTTCGGAACTTGCAGAGTTCTTGCTGGCTCACTATGTGTCAAGCTTGATCCTTCAATCAATTTTGAGGAAGGCGCAACAATCCCCTGTGTTTACGTGACGGCGTTGATGGCCGTCGTTGACAAAGGAAACTTGGCTCGTGGACAGGTAAGGCAATCTGGTATGATAAAGAAATCAAGCTCCCTAATTGGAAGTTAGAGCATCCTGATTCACTCGGCGTGTGGGGGTGTTGGGTTGGCCGCAATCCAAATCGCTCAGTCGATAGGTGCTGAAGTAAGCCCATCATTGTGCTCGAGGTGGCTCCGCTAACCCTGAAGATTTTCTGCACCGTTGGCAACCCGGAGAAGATTAAATACTTACTCAAAAACTACGGCATCCCTGAATCACACATCTTCAACTCTCGCAACGACTCATTCGCTGCCGACATTATGCGAGCGACTAATGGCAGAGGCGTGGATCTTGTACTCAACAGTTTGGCCGGAGAGCTTCTTCACGCATCGTGGAAATGTGTAGCAGAGTTTGGTACGATGATTGAAATCGGTAAACGTGACTTCAGAAGACACGCTCGATTGGCTATGGATGTGTTTGAGGCAAATCGTACCTTCATCGGATTGGATTTGGGACTGGTGCATCAGCATCGTCCAGATCAAGCAGTGTCGTAAGTCGTCCCCTAAGTACTCTAGATTCTCCAGGGACTAATGAGTCAACCAGCTTGTTACAAAGATGCATGGCGTACATGGCTTCAGGCGTCACTAGACCACTCCCGCTTGCAAAGGTCTTTGAAGCCTCTGCTGTTCAGGAAGCTTTTCGATTCATGCAAGGAGGACAACATATCGGGAAGATTGTTGTAAACATGCCGAGCGATGTTCAAACTCTTGATTCGTTCAGAGCTACCTTAAAACCAAACCTGCGATCCGATCGTAGCTATTTGCTGGTTGGAGGATTGGGTGGCTTGGGAAAAGTGGTTGCATCGTGGATGGTTGAGAACGGTGCACGCCATCTCATATTCCTGTCTCGATCTGGTGATACCCACGACGAGACTAGAGATTTCCTTGAGGAGCTACGTAGCCAAGGATGTGAGCCTCAAGTGTTCACTGGAAGTGTGAGTAGCAAATCAGATGTAGAGAACGCTGTCCAGGGTGCGAGAATGCCAATCGCCGGAGTCATCAACATGTCGATGGTGTTGAAGGACGTTTCCGTCGCGGACATGAGCTTCGAAGACTGGACTACAGCCACGGAACCGAAAGTCAAAGGAACTCAAAACCTACACGATGCCATATCTTTCCCTCTCGACTTTTTCATTCTATTCGGATCCTGCAGTGGAATCGCTGGACAATGGGGCCAAGCCAACTACGGCGCAGCGAACACCTACCTCGATGCATTCGTGCAATATCGACATAGCCTTGGTCTCCCTGCATCAGTGATTGATCTCGGAGCTGTGGGTGACGCTGGTTTCGTTTCGGAGAACCGCGATGTCTTGACGTATATGCAAAATAGCAACACTTACCTCCTCCGTGAACGCGAAGTTCTCGATGCCGTCATCTTAGCTATGCATCGATCACATCCATCGAAGACTCAGACATCAACAACAGGTTTTATCGATACCAGCCAAATTGTGCTTGGTCTCATAACAACAAAACCCCTCTCTGATCCCCGAACTCGTGTGCCTTGGAAGTCAGATCCCAGGATGAGTTTCTACCATAACCTGCACAGCTCAACCGACGTCTCCACCTCCAGTTCACCAGAGCAAGGAGGGTTCAAAAGCATCCTCTCGCAGGCTTCTTCTGATCCTTCAATCCTCAAGGAAGACAGCACTCGGGAGATCTTCGCCGAAGCATTGGGTTCTGCTCTGTTCAGTTTCCTGCTTAAGAGTCCGGAGGATATGAGACTTGATCGGTCGCTTGATAGTATTGGGGTTGATTCTCTTGTTGCGATGGAGTTGAGGAATTGGATTCGACAGAAGTTTGGGACGGAAATTGGGATTTTCAATATTATTCATAGTGCTAGCTTGCTCAGTCTGGCGGACTTGATTGCTCAGGCTTTGGTGGGGAAGTTTCAGGTGGTGGAGGGGTGAGTAGATTGCCGTTATTTTTAGAATGGTGGAAAGGATCTTGTTGTACTTCTCTCACATATCAACTCTGTTGTTGTTCAAATGACTCAGGTGGTTTTCCATCCGGAGTAGACGACGACAATTTTTGATACTTATAGAAATGGGAAAGGTACACGCTGACGTTGTGAGTTCAATTGGAAGTAACGTATATTGGAAATCTCAATAGATACCGTCCCTGAAATTCCGTAGAGCAGTTTTCTTGTGATCTGTGTCCGACAAGGACTCGCCACGTTCCAAAGGGTCAACGAACTCTGGAATTCGTTTGACCTCGCGCGTATCAACATTGCTATACGGTTCAGTTCCTCTGATACAAACGTATATGTCGTCTGGTCGATCATCTCTTTCATGTGGGGTCGCCGTGAAATATCGACGATTTGAAGCTTCCCAGATGACCCAACCAGCAGGATAGCCCCCGGTCATCTCCCGCTCCCATTCCCCAACCTTGACGTGCAGGTCCTTCAGTGGTCGACTGCCAATCTTGTTCTTTTCGTGTCGTAATAAAGACTATGCGTTTTCTAACCAGCCACTGTCTTCGATAGGGTTGAAAGGCTTCATACGGTGTGCTTCGATTTCTGCTCTTGTTTCATCTTCATCGAGGAATATATGCGGTGTGCGAGATGTTTCGTCAGCAACACCGAGGGGGATGTAAAGGCGAATGGTATGGAGGAGAGGGAAGGTTGCGAGTGTAGATAGTATCTCGTTCAAACCATCCCCTGTTGATATTTTGCCGGCATCGATCGTGATATCTTCCAATTCTTCGCAGCTTTCGCTCGGCCATTTGACCTCTTCGATTGACATGGATCTTCCAACATCGGAGCTTGCACTTTCAACTTCGTGAAGAACAAGGGTGCGCAGCGTGGCCTTATGCGACAAGACGGCTGATAACGGGATATAGTTTGCTCCGTCCTTGATGGAAAGACTTTCGAGAGGCGAACATGTTTTTAAGAAGTCACTCATCAAATCGTAAACACCCACACCAGCCGAATCATTCAGGGCGAATGACAGATGTTTCAGCTCCGGCAGGTCTTCGCTCTGCCACTGAGCGAGCAAAGAGACGATATCCCTAGCCCCATCGAGATAACCGACATCAAGTGTATGCAGCTTCGTTATGTCGGTGAATTCCTTGAATGACATCATGTTGTATTTCCCACGACACCGCAGTGACCGGATCGAGTTAGGTGAGATAACGACGTTTTTCTTAAATTGTTCTCGCATTTTGGTCTCTTGTTGCTGCTCTTCCCTTGTGGTGTTCCTTGAAACAGCCCAAAGTTGGAGACTTCAAGAACTTCAAGGCCGGGCGAGAGAGCCACAATCCTTTCCAGAGCTGCTGACCGTAAGTCAATGTGTGCAGATGTGTTCAATAGCCTCGCGCGGAGCGATCTCAGGTTCCGCGATGAGGCAAGAGCAATCTCTGCAGCGTTGTTGTGGTCTTCATCGTCATCAAATCTCGCCCAATCTTCAATGTGTAAATGAGCGTGAGGGCGATGCTTCTCCAGAGCGTCAAGTAACGCAACGGATACGTGGTCCATTCCTTGCAGACTGAACGTTCTCAAATTTGGGATTTTTGAGAGCACATCCGCTATCGAAAGCCATTTCTTCCGTGATTGTCTGGGGTTGCAAGTAAATATTTGGGCCTCCGAAGGAGCACACATAAGCACCCGCTCTCCAGGACATTGGAGCATTGACATGTTCTTGCCCCTTCGCCATACTCATGACTACATCGGGCTGGGCCAGCACCGTGTACTCGAAGACTCGAAGCCCTGCTGCCGGAATTGACCGGCTCATCTTAACCAGTCCTTTGCCTCCGTCGGGAAGCTTGCTCCCAATCTGCTGTCCATCCGCCGATACAACACCGTACCGTCTTGATTCTGGGGACCAAGCAAGCCCTGTCGGAGTCTGCAGAAATCCATTCACAGTAAGTGCAACGATGAGTGAACTTTTGACCCGATGCGAGATCTCAACCCCATCTCGCCATGTGGTTGACCATATCATCTCGTGGGGGGATGAACTTGGCATTTGGATGAACTCCCCGCTAGGATGTTCTTGCTTGACGAGCTCCAGGGGAGGGGTCACTGTGTTCGCGAACGCATGAGGGGACTTGGGGGTCCAATAAGGGTGAAGAAGCGATTTGTCCGGAGTCTTGGCAGAGCCGCCGCAGACGCAAAGGCCCAGACAGGCCAATTATAGAATTGAGACAAAAGTCCGCACTTGAACCCCCACTAGATCAGCACAGCTCTTGTGAATGACTCAGGTGGCTTACTTGGTAAATGATCATCAATCTGCCGATTAAGGAAAGAAGAACCTCAAGAGCTTTTTCGTTGCAGAGCTTGGAGAAGACAAGGAGTAGCTCGCTAGGGACAAAGAGTATAGAACAAAGACCCGCCTCAAGGAGTTTCCAGATGCTGCGTTCTATGCAGAATAACCTTAAGACAGATACGCCAAGTTTGACTGTAAACGCACACGCTGTAAGGATGGGGGTTTTAGTTGAACCATAGTATTGCTTAAGTTAAACCATATTATCAAACTCTGCATATGCTCGTTTATTTAGCTGAACCATAGTATCGCTTAAGGAAGCGAGACTGCTAGCCGAGCAAATGAATAGGTTCTGTGGCAGTTATATTTTGGGTATGAGCTCTATATATGCCTGCCAGCGGCTCGGCCAATTTATAATTATTACAAGATTAAAGCATAGTTATAATATATACTTGGTACAAGTTTGCAGAACGCTATCTATATTAGTCTAAAATTATAATTATAGAAAATCTATAGAAAAGCAAACCCTATTTCTATATATACTATATATAATATTATATTATATTAAGGAAGAAAAAAACACTTCCTATATACTATTATTTTATTTAATATATAGTATATATCGAATATATATAACGGCACTAGCTGGAGTTAAAGAAGAATAGCTATTATATAACTAGTTTTATCTAGTAAGCCGGCATTTTAGTAGTTTTAGCTAGTATTTCTCTTCTTTTATTCCTTTTTCTTTTCTCTCTTTCTCTTTTTTTTTAACTAAGTATTTTTAATATATGAAATTCTTGGATCTTTAAGCCCTGGCTATTATCTTAATCTTACTATTATACTATACTAAGCTTATTTACTTAACTTATAAAATAATAGAATACTACTAGTAAAGAACCTGTATTTGTTTTTAGGAAATAAGAATAGAATTCTATTTCTAATATTCGAATTCTCTCGAACTTAAAGAAAATAAAATAATAATTAGTTCTTTACTATAAAGAGCTTATTAATATAATAAAAATAATAAGTTTTAAATTAATAATTTTATAATTTTTTAGAAATAATTTTTTAATAAATATATAAAATATATTAATATAAAAATTATAATTAATTAAAATAATTAATTAAATATAAGTTTATAAAATATTATATATTTCTTATTATTATTATAAGTTTAAATAACTAGTTTTAATTTTTTTAATTTTTCTTTTTAATATTTAATTTCTAAAAAACTAATAATTTTAATTTAATAAGAGTTTTTATATAAATTATTATCTTATAAAAATACTATAATATTCGAGTTTTTATAAAAGTATTTTTTATTATATTTTAGTAAAATAATAGAAATCATAAAAGAAATTATATTTATATTATTTTTAGTTTTATTATAAAATTCGGAAATAGATTTAAATTTAGAACTATTAGTAATAACTATTAGTATAATTATAATTATTTATAATTATATAATATATAAGTAATTAGAAATAATAAAATATAAATAACTAAATTAGTAATTAATTTCTATTAGGCTTAATAAATTTAGAAATTATATATTAATATTATAATATTATAATTCTTCTTTCTAAATAAAAACTATTTTATTAATTTTTATAAATATATAATAATATTATATATTTCTAATAAACTAATATTAATAAGTTTATATATATAAATTATATTTATTTAAGATTTAGTTTCTTAAAAATAAAGCTATTATTTTATATTAAAAAAATAACTATTAATTATTTTTATTTATAATTCGGTTCTATAAAAAGAAAAAGATATTTAATTTTATTAAAATCTAATTAAGCTATATTTAAAAAAAGAAATAATTATTATTTTTATTTAATTATTTTATAAAAAATTATTATTTTTATAATTATCTAAATACCTAAAGCTTTTAAGTTTTAGAACTATTAAATTCTTTTAAAATCTTAATATTTTATTTTAAATATAATAATTTCTATTTATTTATTTTATAAATTATTATTAATATAGCTATTTCTTTAGGAATTATATATTAATACTATAATCTATAATTTCTATTTTGAAATAATAATAATTTTACTAACCTTATATAAATAGTATTTTATATTTATATAATAATATTATATATTACTAGTAAACTAATATTAATTAGTTTATATATATAGATTAAAGAAGATTTTAAATTAGTTCTAAAAGTATTTAATAGCCTAAAATAAAGCTAGTTTATTTTATATTAAAGAAAGAAATTATTTAATAATTTATAAAGAAAATATCTAGTTTTTACTAATTAATAAATAATTAGTTATTTAATTAATTAATTATTTAACTTCTATTATTTTTTAAAACTAATTTCTTTTAGCCCTAATATTACTTTTTTAGAAACTATCTTTTTTGCTTATATAATATTTATATTTATAAGATTTTTTTTCTAAAATATATATTCTATATATATTTTTAAAGCTTTTTAACTATAATATTAATTTTACTATTAAATTAAGTTCTTTAAACTTTAGATATTCTCGAAATTATAATATTTTATTTTTTTAAATTTCTTATTATAAATAAAATATTTAAAAATAAAATATTTATTTTAATATTTTTACTAGATATCTAATATTTAAATTAAATATCTAAATATTTTTATTACTAAATTCTTTTTATAAACCTATTATAAATTATTTTATTTTTAAATTCCTTTTATTATAAATTATATATATATATTAGAAAAAACCTAAATTTAATTTAGTATAAATACTAATAAGAAAAAGGAACTAATTAAAAAATAGAAAAATAGTATTAATTTAGTAATTATAATAAAGAATAATTTTTAGAAATATCTAATTATTAAGATATATTAGTATATTTTATATAAAGAAAGTAATAATAATTTATAAAATCTATTTTAGGATAATTTCAAGAACTTTAATATTATAGTATATAGTCTAATTAATTATATATTCTTATAAAATCTTTAAATCCAATTTTAGTATAATAATATTTATATTAAATAAAATTATAAGAATCTTATTATTATATAATTCTTTATTAAGCTTAGTTAAAAAAATAAAAAAGATATAAAATAAAGCTAATATTATTAATAATAATCTAATTAGAATAGATCTTTTTTAGGAATTTATTATATTAGTTTATTTTATTTTAGATAAAACTAAATATAAAAGAACTAGATATTTTTAATTAAGAAATTAAAGCTTTTTATTATTTCTATTTTTATTACTATTAGTATTATTATTAAATTTAAATTTCTATTAATTAATACTTACTATATTATTAGAAAGCTTATTAGAAAAGTAATAAAAATATATTTCGAAATATAGAAATATAATAAAATAAATAATAGTTTTAATTATAAATTTTTTTTTCAATATTTATTAATATATAAAATTTCTAGAAAAGATACTAATAAAAGCTTTTTTTATTATATTAAAAAGACTAGTATAAAACTACTTTTATAATAACTAGCTCTTAAATTATATATATAAAGAAGCCTATATAAATATTTATAGCTTTTTTAAAAGACCCGGTCTCTATTATTAAAATTTAAATAAATAAAATATTATTATTTTAGTAATTATAATAATAAAAGATTCTAAAAAAAAAATATTTAAACTTATCTAAATACTAATTAATAATTTATATAAATTATAATATAGCTTTATTTCTATTTTATTAAATATTAAATTTCTATATAATAAAAACATTATTTTTTATTAAGGCTTATTAGTATACTAATATATAGTTTCAAATACTTTTAATAAATTTGACTAGTTTATTAATAAGCTTTAATTATTTATTACTATTTATTAATTAATATTATTATTAATATAAATCTAGTTATAACTTCGAAATCTATAATAATTATTTCAAGTTCTATAATTATAATAATTATATTCTAAAGTTATATTTTATATATAAGAGATCTAAATACTATTTATAGAAATATATATTAGAAAAATAAAAAACTAAAAAGATTTAATTTAAAAATAGAAATATTTACTAATTTAGATTTTAAAACTCTTATAATTTTAATAAATATTTTAGTAATATTTATATATAATATATTACTAAAATTAAAAGAAAAAATAAAAATAAAAATAATAAAAACGAATTAGAAAATAATACTTTTAAAGCTTTATTAATAAAAATAAATAAAGAAAAGAAATATTATTTAGATTTCTATTTTATTTCTATTAAAAGATTTTTAGCTATTTTTATTACTTTTATTTCTATTATTTCTATAACTAATATTTTTATAAATAACCTTATTTTTCTTTCTTTTATATATTAGATAATAAATAAAAACTATATTTTAGAACTTA